GCCGAGCAGGGCCCGGGCGCGGGCCCGGGCCAGGGCCAGGGCAGCTCGGAGGAGGAGGTGGAGCCCTTCGCCGTCACGCTGCCGCCCGCGCAGCTGTCCTCGAGCGACGAGGAGACGCGGGAGGAGCTGGCCAAGATCGGCCTGGTGCCCCCGCCGGACCAGTTCGCCAACGGGGTCCTGGTGACCGCCCCGGGCACGCCCATCAGCCAGCTGGCCGCCCCCGCCGTCGCCACGCCGTCCCTGCCAGCGGCAGCAGTAGCAGCTTCTACCACCGGTGGAACACCCTCAGGGAAGCCCTCGGACGCCCCCGCGGCCCCGGAGTCGGCCGCAGACTCCGGCGTGGAGGAGGTGGACACCCGGAGCTCGAGCGACCACCACCTGGAGACCACGAGCACCATCTCCACCGTCTCCAGCATGTCCACGCTGTCCTCGGAGAGCGGGGAGCCCACCGACACGTACACGTCCTTCGCCGACGGACAAACTTTTGTACTCGAGAAGCCACCAGTGCCTCCAAAGCCAAAACTCAAGTCCCAGCTCAGCAAGGGGCCGGTTACTTTCAGGGACCCTCTCTTGAAGCAGTCCTCGGACAGCGAGCTCCTCTCCCAGCAACACGCGGCCATCCTGGCTTCCGCCAGCATCGGCCGGCCACGCTACCTCTTCCAGCGCAGGTCCAAGCTGTGGGGGGACCCCCTGGACAGCAGGCCGATCCACGGCCCCGAGGACGACAAGCCGACTGTGATCAGCGAGCTGAGCTCCCGGCTGCAGCAGCTGAACAAGGACACGCGCTCCCTGGGGGAGGAGCCCGCGGGGGGCGCGCTGGACCCCGGGAAGAAGTCTCCGGTGGCCGCGGCCAGGTAAGCCCAGGCGCGGGGCGCGGCGGGGTCGCCTTGCTCCTGGCAGCATGGGGGGCACCGCCCCAGAGGCGCCTCTCAGCGCTTGCAGGGCGGTGGTGTGGGAAGCCGGCCAGCCCCCCCTCCCCCCGCAGGCCCTGCTCTGCCTCGCCTCCCCCAAGGGGGCATCCCGGCCAGTGCTGTCTCCCTCGGTTCCTCTGGCCTCCTTCCTTGCCGCCGCAGGACTAGGCTCGCGGGCCTCCTTCCACCCCCGTGTGCCCCCGGCCTCCCGGACCGTAGCTTGGGGCTGGCCCGGCGGGGCCCGTGTGGCCCCGGACTCGGCCCAGGCCCCCAAGGCAAGGGTTTTGCCCTTGCTGAGAGAAGCGCCCAGGCCGAGGCTTCGGGGAGTCCCCACAAGGGTGGCGCCGGGCACGTCTGCGTGTTGGCGGCAGCACCTGCTGGGGGGCCCCTGCACCTGTTTTGGGGTCCCAGCGCTGCAGGGCGTGTGGTGCGTGGAGGCACTCCCTGACGGAGGGCGCCGCAAGAGCGAGGCCAGGTGCTCCGACGGCGAGGGGGCGGGAGGGCAGCGAGGGGGGCACGCCAGGCGAGCGGGGGGGGGCAGTTTGCACGCTGTTCATGAGAAACCGGCCCTTGAGGCCAAAAGTGGGCCAAACGATGTGGAGGGCGAAATGATGCGGCATGTGGCACATCGTGGGGACGCTTTGGGTGGCACTCTGCTGCTTCCTCCTCCTCCTCCTCCTCCTCGCCCCCCCGCACTCCTTTTGACTCGGAGAGAGCGCACTTACAGGCTGCTTTTCCAGCCCCTTCCCGGGGGTGGGGGAGCGAGGCGGCTGCCCCCCCGTCACCCCCCCCCCCCCCCAGCAGATGCCGGCTCCCGCACGCACATCCGGCGCCTCTCCTTTCGCCGGATCGTACCACCCAGAGCCCTGCTGGAAAGATGGCTGACTGAGCCAGCCACGGGATTTTGGAGTGCTCCCCACTGCCCCATCCAAATATACTTGCCAGGGCCCCCCGTGCCCCCCACCCCACTCACAGAACACTGGGGCTCTGGCCCAGCCCCCCAGCCCCTCCCTGCTCGCCCTCCCTGCGCAGCCGCTTGTTCTCGGTGGCCTCCAGGCCAGCGGGGCGGGGAGGGCAGCCGGGGTGGTGCTGCCCAGTGTCCAGAGGGCCACAGCCAGTGCGGGGGGGGGGAGAGACATCCGAAAGCACAGTCCGTGGCCAGACCTGCCGCAGGGGGCTGCCTGACCCTTCCCCATGCAGGCCCCTCCCCAGCCGCAGCCAGGGCTGTCACTCACCCAAACGAGGGAGACGTCCATGGGAAGTGGCCAGGCGGGTTTGTGTCCTCCGCAAGGCGAGCCGCAGCTTCGGGGGAGGCCATTTTGATGGGGGGAGGGGCGAGACTCCCCCTGTGCCCATGGCTGCACTCAGAACTGGAGCCCCCCCCCCGGGTCTCTTAGAGGCACGTGCCCCTGCAGCCCGCTGAGGGCCCACGTGGCTGGCTCCTCTCTGCCACCTCTTCCGGGAGCGTGCGTCGTCTTACGCTTAACCAAACAGAAAGCAAAGGGCAAAACTGGCGGGGCTGATCTGAGATCTCCTTCTGCAGCTTTGATCTGCCCCTCAGGTTAAGCCTGAGGGCTGGGTTGCGAGCAGGGCCCAATGCTGCCCCCAGCCACGGCCGGCCGCCCGCCTCGCCTCGCCACCTCTTCCCTTCTTCCGGCTGCATTTCCTGCGCGTCCCCTCTTCCCCCTGTGCAGGGTGCAGCTTCGAATCAGGAGCAAAAGCCGAGAAATGCTGCAGAATTTGCACCGTTGCAGCTGCGCATTAGTGCACGTTAGATCTGGGGTGCGATGCCTACGGGCTGGGGAGAAAGGAAATGGGGCCGGGGAGCATGTGGGGCTGTGCGTGGTCAGAAGTAGGGCCCCTCACCGGCCCCTCGTGAGGCAGAAAGAAGAGCCGGTGGAGGTTTGCGGAAAGAGCTTGCAGGACGGGAAGGCCAGGGCAGGTCCTCGAGCAGGAGGGCACGGGGAAGGGCTCTGGCTGCAGTCCGTCACAGCTGCGGCGCGCCACCTTTTCCCGCGGGGGGGGGGGAGATGGGAGGTGGAACGCAGACCACCTCCTCCCCTGGGCAGCGGCTGACCGCTGAAGACAGGTGCTGAGTCCCGGGGGCAGGCGGGCAGGGCAGGGCCAGGCTGCACAGGGGTGGCAGGGGGGCCCCGCGTTCCCGAGGCCAGCCAGGCTGCCCTTCGGCGTGTGGCAGGCGGCGGCATCCGCTTCCCTCCGTTGTCGCCCTCGCTCTGCACACTCCTGCGCACGAGGGCAGGCCCTGCACCCCGCGGGGCTCTGCAAGGACGGGGCTTTCCTGTGCCTCCCCACGTCCTCTTTCAACCCTCCTCCCCCCATTTGAACATGCCCAGTCCTCCTCCGGTGGCCCCAAAGCGTGAAGGCCAGTTTCTCCCGGCGCCTTCTTCTCCAGCTTCTTCCCGAGCCATTTCCCAGGGAGCCGAAGCTCGCACTCGCGGATCCCCGGGGTGTGTGGAGTCCGTGGCACCAGCGCTGGGCGATCTTGCCTTCAGTTGGCTGCTGCCACGTGCCCTTTCTGGAGCGTTGCAATGTCTCGCTGGGGTCTACCCACACCGAGCAGTTGGGGGGGCCCACCCATTCGCCTTCTTCCCAGTCACCAGTCCCCTTAGAGAAGGCGCTAAGCAGCCCCCGCCCAGAGCGGCCCCGTGGCCGGGCCAGTCGCGTGTCCCACAAGGCCCCCCCAGCGGTAGCGCTGCATTGACCACCCTCCGCCCGTGTCTGAAGCCCGCGGTGATCTTAAAGGCTTGCCCGTCCTTGCAAGTTCCACGTGGAGCTCCGTTTCCTTGGAGACAGCCCTCCTCGTGGCCACCTCGGGCCATCCGCCTCTCACGTGGCAACGGGCGTCGGTGGCTCGCTGGCCCTCGGCCGCCACTCCTCCGTGGCCCCTTCCCTTGGATGGCCGCGGTGCGAGGGGGCGCCGAGGCAGGGGGGAGCGCCCTCGGGGGTGAGGGGTGTGCGAGGGAGCCCCTGTGCCCCTGTGGCTCGAGCCAGACCCCCGCGCATCGCCCACGTCCCTCTCACTGGCGGGAGCGAACAGGAGCTGTCGTCGCATAATTTGAAAGCCAAAAATATATACCTGTGTGTGTGTGCGTGTGAGCATGTGCATTGTGTGTGTATATACGTCTCTATAGATATCAATATACATGTAGAGGAAAACCCACAACTGCTTTGTGTTCCTACAGATCTGAAAAAGAGAGTGAAGAGAAAGAGGCCTAGGCATTGGCATTTAGCTCGTAGGGTAACGCTTCCTCTTTCTATATGAACTGATCAATTAATTCTGTTCTCATGTGAGCTCCCAGCTGCTGCACTTCACCGCCACCACCCCATTTCCTTGTAGGTTTTCTTGTCCCCGCTGCCTTCTCCTGCCATGCACCAGAACGGGGGCGCGGTTCCACTCCCCCCCCCCCGCAGGCACCCTCCGGGCAGCAGCTGGGCATGGACACGGGCAGGGTGAAGCGCAGCGGTCGAGCGGGCCCCTGGCGAGAAGCCACGGAGCCCACACTGTGTGGCGATGTGGCCATTCGGTGGTGCCACCGTCACCAGGAGCCCCGAGGCGGGGGGCTGTCCGGGCCCTGAGAGACACGGGGAGCGCCTGGCAGGCACAGGCGGCCCCGAGCCGGCTGGAGGGAGACGAGGGCCGTTGTCCGGCGGGCGTGAGGCCGCTCTCTGCGTTCCTGGGAGGTCCGAGGGGAAATGGTGCAGCCGCAGCTGCCCTTTCATGCGGGAAGGGGGCTGCAGCTGGGCCCCCTTTGCTCCGAGTGTTTCGGGAGGGGCAGCAGCTGGTCCGTGCCAGCCGGGGAAGGAGGCGTTTCCCCCAGGGACGGGACGGGACGGTCGGAGGCCAGAAGCATGTCTTTGTTCACTGCGATGCCTCCCCCGCCCTGAGACCGGTTTGCCTGCAGCATCCCACTGGCGGGGCGCAGGAGAAGGGGTCGCCGTGCAGAGCCTCCTGCAGAGGTGGGAGAGCACAGCTGCACTGGCAGGGTCAGGCCTGCCCAGGGAGGGGGAGGGGGAGGGACTCGTGCGTGTGGCCCCATGGGATGGGATGGGATGAGATAGGAAGGCCGAGGGGGCAGCGGGGTGTTGTGGGACGGCTTTATACAGGGCCAGCTTCACCTGGGCACCTTAATGTGGGTGCGGAGAAGGTGCCACTGACCGGCCAGGTGCAGAAGGGGCCTGATCCAGAAGCGAGCTGCGACTGGGTGGGGGCAGTGCTGGGGGGGAAGTGGGCACGCGGCCCCGACTTTCACTGCGAATGCACTCAACCTACAAGGACATGGGGCCGTTGTGGGTAACAAGTCCGCATGTGTTTGTTCCCTGCCGATCCATGACAGCTTCACTTCATCTCCTCACTAACCTTGCACTAATCCAGCTTACACACCCCGTTGTTTTGCCACGCGCGGAGCGGTGCTCAGCGTGGCTTGGCCTCCGTGGAGGGCGGTGCTGTGGGGCCGGCGCGGTGTGTTCCCCGGGAGTGTCTTGCCTGTGCTGTGCCCTTGAGGGGGGGCCTGCAGGTGCCCAGGCCGGCCCTAGCAGGTCGCCGTCCGTGCCGCGATTCCGGGTAGGTATTGGGAGCTGCGGGCACGCAGAGCTATCGCCTTACCGAGGCCTCCGGTCCTCTCAGAGTTTTGGAGACCTTGCGGGGGACTGCTGAGGTCACCTCGTGAGTATTCCTGCGTGCCAAAGGTTGCCCGGTAGCACTTTGTCCATGCCCCTTTCAGGGGGTCAGCCCTGGTTAGAATCCTTAGGACACCGGAGAACTCCTGGCAATCGGCTTCTCCACACCTGCACCCACGAGATGGCTCCAGGAAGTCACCTGCAGGCCACCTGTTGCAAGCTGAGCACCTCTGGGTGGCGCTCCCCTTCCGGTCCCTTGCACCGTCTTCATGGTGCAACGAAAATGTCCGCGCATAGATTGCAGC